TCTTTGGGGTTGTGCTGTGTTCGGTCACATCAACAGTTCTGTGGCAGGGATTCTGGTTCTAACTGCCAGGCTCCTGGAAGCCACTGAGACACCAAACCCTGTGGGAGGTGTAAGGCAGGTTCCCTGCGAAGGAAAGTGGTATCAGGTTGGGAAATTTGCACACCATCACTGAAGAGTAACTGAGGATAGACAAATCTTGCTCAAGACATAATTCAGTAAAAGGGATATTATGGTAATTTAGACAAAAGCTGGTCTCACCCTAAAGTGTTTTTATGCTTGGCCTCGGCCGCCATCATTTTTCTTTCAATGTCTGTCATTATACTAGAATGTTTATTATACTAGAATTGTGTCATATTATATAAGAATTGTGTCATAATGGATATGAGTTGAGACAAAGGATAGAGAAAGTAATACAAGGCTGGCTACTTTTACTCCAAGAAGGAAATTCTAAAGAAGCAGAGTGAAGCCAGCTGCACTATATGTCACATTGATATAAGTCACCGAAATGCTGGGTTCCCAAAATTGTGTTCCTTCCTTTTCACAATCTCTCCTTGCTCACATCGGAAGTGGAGGTGAGCAGGGTCCCTGGTGGACATGGGACAAGAGCAGCCAGGGGGATATCATGGGGCACAAACAGGTGCAGGAACAACTAGAACAGTAACCACATGGAAACTTGTTGCCCACGGCCACCTTTCCTCTGCCCCACCCAGGTCAGGGCTGGAATCCTTATCTCCAGTACTGACCACAGTTCCTGTCTCTGCAGGACCCTGAGGTGTCAAACTTACCCCTCAACTGACCATAAGCATGGGACAGGCATTAATGCAATGAACCTAATGAAAGCTCTTGGAGAAGGACGTTATGCAAATACTATTAATCAAAAGCCTTATTCCTTTCCTCCCAAGCCCTCCCACCTTATGCAAGAATATAAGGAAATATTAACTTTACTTCCCTAGTGATGGAGAGATGTAATTAGAGCCTGGGAAGGTTTTCCCACAAGGCATTAGTGGGGAAATTTGCCAGCACTTTGATGAAATAAAACATGGAACTCTCTATTCTGTGCCAACTGCTTCTTTCTTTGGAACACAAAGTCATTTTTATGAGTGAAACTAGAAAGAAAAAAAGAGCAAAAAAAAAAAAGAAAAAAGCAACAAAAACCAAGGGAGATAAGGTCACCCTCTCGTTTCTTCTGGCAAACCTCTCAGATTCCGGCAGACCCCTTCCCCCGAGACAGAGCAGGGCTGCACAGCTGCTCCTAACAGAGAAAAAGGAGCAAATTCAAGTAAAAACTGAAAAAAAAAAACTCAACAATTCCTAAAATGTTTAAGAGTTACCCTCAATACACTATATGAGAGGAAATTGTATTCAAATCTTATTTGAACAAATCTCATAACAACAAATTCTCTACCTTTATGTCTTCCAAACTTTCCTAATGACTTAGTGATCAATTTATAATAATTTACTGATCACTGACAAATCCAAGCACTGAGCCCTTTTGTGATCCATTTCAAACCATAGTCAGTTGCAAGTCCCTTTCTCCCTCTTCTCTTTGCTGGAATGCCTGCCTGCTGCATTAAACCCATCCTTCAGGACCCCTCTAAACTGCCTCCTCCTCCACTGCTCTGATTCTTCACCCACCCTAAGAGCTCTGGCAGAAGTCATTTGTCCCCTTTTGGGATTGTCTTTGTCTGTCTTTTCTTTTTACGATTTTTTTTTTTTTTTTTTTTTTGAGATGGAGTCTCACACTTTTGCCCAGACTGGAGTGCAATGGCGCGATCTCGGCTCACTGCAACCTCTGCCTCCTGGATTCAAGCGATTCTCCTGCCTCAGCCTCCCGAGTAGCTGGGATTACAGGCGCCTGCCACCATGTCCAGCTAATTTTTTGTATTTTTAGTAGAGACGGGGTTTCACTGTGTTGGCCAGGCTAGTCTCAAACTCCTGACCTCGTGATCCACCCGCCTTGGTCTGTCTTTATCTTAAGGGACATATTATGTATAGCTTTATTATTCTTACTGTGTATTATCCAGTTTCCCCTCCTGCACTGCGTACTTCTTGAGATGCAGATCTTGAGGACGGCATTCGGTATGCCCTAAACCCGGCATTGTTTCGATTTCTTATATGCCATTATTACTCTAAGTGTGGCTCACAGGCTTGCAGTATGCACATGATTTGGGAGATCATTAGAAATGGAGTCTCCCACCCCACCCCAGTCCTACTTAATCAGAATCTGCATTTTAATCCATTACCTACCCAGGTTATTCACAGTACATTAAAGTCTGAGAAGTGCTGTTATATACAATGGATACTTAGTAGATATTTTTCACATAAGCCAATTTCTTGTTCTTTCTTTTTTTTTTTTTTTTTTTTTTTGAGATGGAGTCTCACTCTGTCACCCAGGCTGGAGTGCTGTGGCCACAATCTCGACTCACTGCAAGCTCGGCCTCCTGGGTTCACGCCATTCTCCTGCCTCAGCCTCCCGAGCAGCTGGGACTAGAGGTGCCTGCCACCACGCCTGGCTAATTTTTTGTATTTTTTAATAGAGACGGGGTTTCACCATGTTAGCCAGGATGGTCTCCATCTCCTGACCTCGTGATCTGCCTGCCTCGGCCTCCCAAAGTGCTGGGATTACAGGGGTGAGCCACCTTACCCGGCCCACATAAGCCAATTTCTATGCAAAGACCTTCCCCTTCACCCACTCCCACCCTCCATCCTAGGCACTGCAGATGAGCTAAGAACTAAGCCCACCTTCAGGTGGCAAGAGTGCTTTCTCCGCATTCACTCTAGCTTGCCATCCATAGCCTCCATGCATTCAGATGCAAGTCATTTATTAATTAATTCCCTCACAACACATTTACTGAGGGCCTGCCTCCTATATGCCAGGCATTGTGCATATTCCACAAGAACATTTACCTCTCAACACACTGAATCAGGTTTATGGGATCAGGAAGAAGGCAAGGGGAGTGGCATGTAAATCGTGTGTCCTGTGCCTACCAGGATGCTTGTCTGCTGCACAGATTTCTGGTGGATCAGGAAAGACACAGCCCACAGACTCAACTCCTCTTTCAGGGCTCGGCTGGCTGCTGCCCCCAAGGCCTGGCTCTCACTGGCATAAGCTCTGCACCAGTGTTTTCTCAAGCCTCAGGACACACCCCAGTCACCAGGAAGGCTTGGGAAAACACAGAATGCTGAGCTCACCCTGAAACTTCTGATGCAGTAAGTAGTGAGGTACCAACAAGAACAGAAAAAGGCAGAAACACTATAGAAGATGCCTGTATTCTCCGAGCTTCCCTGATGAGGTGTATCCTATCAAACCCCATTCCCTTAGGTGTTGCAGAATGCTTGGAGAAAAGACTAAAGAAGTGAGGTCTCCATGTAATGAAGCCCATTGAGAGAACCAAGTCTAGAAAGTTCACCAGGTCCTGAGCAAGAGCAGGGGACAAACTAGGGCCTGATTGGCCTGCTTTTTCACTTGCATTGTAAGATTTATGTGTTACAGTGTCATTAAATCTAGAGAGACCAGGACTCAACCCATGGTAATAAAAATAAATCTGTGCAATACTGGGGAGCTTCATAGCTAGATGTAATTATCTCTCATAGATGAAACCCAGCACGTGAGTCCTGGCCCAGAAATAGCTCATTTTCTCCCTGCCTACAGCTGTGCTCGGGCTGAAGCTGCTGACGCTGGGCTTGAGGGGTGCCTTCCTCTGCCTCCAACTTGCCTCCTCTCTCAGGCACCTCATCCTCCACCCAGTGTTATTATGAAATCAAGTGGCCTGTAAAAGGAGGACTGGGAGAATGTCAAGAATCCCTCCCCTCTCCAGTCCTTTCCCCTTCCTCCCATGCCCCATGACTTTCTAAACTCAACTGCAATGGATAGGTGGTGGGAACATGCAACAGCATTTCCTAGAACAGGATTTTCTACCTCCTTTTGGAAATCACTTATCTTATTCCCATAGTGCCCTAATTCCAACAGTATATGACATACACAATGAGAATGTCATATGAGCTAAGAAGGCTGAAGACCCATGCCTTAAGGCTAACCAGCTTCCAGAAGAATCCTTAAACCTACATTCCATTTCCATACCAATCCTGGGTGTCCTAACTTGCTCAATACCAGGAGTATCTATCAAGTTAGTAGGTGCCTAGGGGAATCTAGATGTCATTTTCAGCCCTTTCTCTTTCCCACACCCAGCAGAAATGGATGTGAGATCTCGCAATGAGCATCTAAAGTTTTCAGGATTGTTACCAGGACAACCACACCTGAAAGCTTTCCTTTGACTCAGTCTACCCTGTGCCCGCCCATTCAACCCCCATGTCAGCCCTCATCTGCTTCCAGCCCAAATTCTATTTTGGTGCCTCATTTTAATTGTTTTTTGTTTGTTTGTTTGTTTGTTTGTTTGTTTTTCTGGCCTCAGATCAATCCCTCTATCTCTGGTCTGATGTTGCAATTTCTCCTTTTTATCTTGGGTATTTTAGGCCATGTATGTGGAAATTTGACGCATGTGACCCCCTTTGGCACAGTCGGACATTTCTCAAATTCACCTCATTTCTGATCTCTGGTTCTGGAAATTATGAAGTCAGAAAGTCCCACGAAGGCTTATGTTTACTGGCATTACAAGGGCAGATACCATGTCTGTCTTACTTTCCTATTGCCTCCCATATTACCCAGCACATAATAGGTGTCAGACAAATATTTTTTATGAACAAGTGGATTATAGATATATCACACCATGGGCAGACTAATATAATTTTTATTGTGTGAGTATGTTAAGTGTTTCTGGACAACTGATAAGGTTATATTTATAACCAAAGGATTAATGTTCATGAAGTGCCTTGAAATCCACAAAACAATAATGCTGTAAAAGAGTCAACTATTCCCTGGTGGAGATGATCAGAGGAACAGATTGTACAATTCATTTGGGACTTAAAAGGTAGATATGAGTAAAGGTGGAAAGAAAATGGGACATGATGAGAAAACAATCAATAAACAAATTAAAACTCACCTTTATCATAATCATCATTCTCAACTGCATCTTCTTGAAGTTTCTGAAGTTTTAATCTTAAGGATATTACCTATGTTGGTATAAAGGGGAAAAAATAAAGAATTATGATAGAATTCAAGCAAACATTTTTGTGAAAACTAAGAACATTTAGAAACTGTTTCAAAATGAACTTCTTCATTCTCTTTTAAAAAATGCACATTTTTTTCAATGCCAGATGCATTAGTTTCTCCAAAAAAAGAGCTTATGTAAAGAATAAATGTAATTTGAGCATAACATCCACATAAAAAGTTAAAATGTTATTTTATTTTAAACAAAAACATCACACTGTGCCTTTATCCGCATGAAGAAATGCATAAGGAGAAGGAACACAAGTTTCCTGACCAAATGGTCTCTGTTTTAAACATCACATTAAACTTATGAAGGTAAACACACCAAAACTGGAAGAGAAACCAAGAGAAAAAGAGCATGAACTTAAGCTCAGCAGGTCATCCTGAAAGCTTGAGTAAGAATGATGGCAAAGCTCTCACAAAACCCTTCTGAGAAGCCCTAAGGTTCAAATATTTTCCATTACAGAAAAGGGCACCGTCTTATTTAACCCACATGGAGACTCAGTGATCCAGTTACTTCTCTGAGTGTTACCAATGGGTTGACTTAGCATCACTGATACGGTCTGGCTGTGTCCCCACCCAAATCTCATCTTGAACTGTAGCTCCCATAATTCCCACATGTCGTGGGAGGCCATTCAATCATGGAGTTGGGTCTTTCCCATGCTGTTCTCATGATAATGAATAAGTCTCATGAGATCTGATGGTTTTATAAAAGGGAGTTCCCCTGCACAAGCTCCCTCTTGCCTGCCACCATGTAAGATGTGCCTTTCTCCTCCTTTGCCTTCCACCATGATTGTGAGGCCTCCCCAACCATATGGAACTGGGAGTCCATTAAACCTCTTTCTCTTTATAAATTACCCAGACTTGGGTATGTCTTTATTAGCAGCATGAGAACTGACCAATATAATCATTGTTCTTCTCAACAGGAGACCCAAAGATTTACTGACAATGAATCCTTGGCCTACCAATGAATGGATTTGGGCTTGCTCCCTGAAAAACATCTTCCTCCTTCTTTGCCTGGCTCACACCTACATTTTCTTCAACCCCTAGCACAAGTACTGTCTCCTCTAGTCTGTGTTAAATGTCCCTCCTCTATACCTCCATTGTGACCTGTACTTGCTTCTATTCACAGACCCATTCAACAAATATTTACTGAGTGCCTCTTAGGTATCAGGCCCTGTTTGTATTGTGTTTGTGTACCAAGGATATGTCATAAAATGCTTAGCCCTCTAGACTTACATTCTAGGCAAAAACATAATACAGTCAGCCCTTGAACAACACAGGGATTATGGGCCCCAACCCCTGCCCTACACAGTTGAAAATCTATGTAGAACTTTTGACTTCCCCAAAACTTAACTACTAATAGCTGACTGTTGACCAGACACCTTACCAAAAACATAAACAGTTGATTAACACACATTTTGTATTATATGCTGTATTCTTACAATAAAAGTAAACTGGAAAAAAGAAAATATTATTTAAAAATCATTGAGAAAAAAATAAATTCAACATTGACTAGATGACAAAAAAATCTTAAAAAATAGAAAATAAACTTTCCTATTCATTAAGTGGAAGTGGGTCATCATCAAGGTCTTCATCCTCATCATCTTCATCTTGAGTAGGCTGAGGAGGAGGAAGAGGGGTTGGTCTTGCTATCTCAGGGGTGGCAGAGGTGGAAGAGAAACTGCATATAAGTGACCCTTGCAGCTCAAATCCCTGTTGTTCCAAGGGTCAACTGTAAGTTTTATGGCACCTCAGCAAGTGACTAACGCTATGAAAAAGGAAAAGGGAGAACCATGTTATGGGGATCAGGGATGCTGGTAGAGGGTGCAATTTGAAATCTGATCTCCTTGAGATGGTGACAATTACGCAAAGATTTAAAAGCGGTAAGGTAGTGAACCATGAGGCTGTCTGGGAGAAAAACATTGCCACAGAGGGAAGAGCCAGTACAAAGGCTCAGGCAGAAGTGTTTCTGGTAAGAAAGCAAGAAGTGAAAGTGAAATGAAAAGCAAGTGGGAGCAAGAATGCCACTGGATCTGGGACAGATTGATGGAAGGGAAAACTGTAGAGAACGAGGTCACACAGGTAATGAGGACTGTATCAAGAAAAGACAAGAAGACATTTAAAAGTTATGATTTTACTCTGAAGTTCATGGGGGCCACTGGAGAGTTTGGGGCGGAAGAGCACATGATCTGACTTACATTTTAAACAGTTTCACTCTGGCTGCTGTTAGTAAGAGCAAAAGAAGGGAGGCCAGGTAAGAGGCCATGGTAACGTTCAGGAAGGAGATGACGGGAGCTTGGATGATAATGAGGATGGTGGCAATGGCAAAGATGGTAAGATGTGATCTGATTCCGGATATATTCAAAAGATCGCTGGTTAAATATAGAGCCAACAGGATTTGCTAATACCTCACAGGTGGGGTCTGAGGAAAACGCACCAGGATGATGCCAATGTTTGTTTCGTTTTTTGTTTTCTGAGCCACTGGAAGAATGGAGTACTTATTACACCAGGCTATAGCCATCTTTTGCTTTGTTTGGTTTTATCTGTGCATATCATTCGACCTTGAGCATCTGGAGGGCAAGAACTATTTTGCATCCATGTATAAGACGCTAGTACTTACCTTTACTTGATTTTTCCACTGCTTTGGGCACATGGAAAGAGTACAAGTGCCTCTCTCCTTGTTCTGCTGAACAGGGTATGAGTGGCAATGATGGGGTTACTTCTATGCTGAAGCATTTGATGGCTCTTGTAGGACTCCCTGACATTCTCTTCCTCATGTCTGTGACTAAGGGGGTCACATGTTCAGATGGTGCAGGCTGGGTTCTTGAGTGACTCTATGGAGCAGAGCCCCCCCTAAAACCTCTGTGGAACACGAAGCATATGCAAGAAACACAATTTTGTTGTGTTGAGCCTGTAACGTAGTGTCTGTTACCAGCCTATCCTAACTAACACAACCTCCAAAGCCTAGCATAAGGCATTGTACTAGTTGTCATTGATAAATGCTTTCTGAATGAATGAAAGAATGAATGAATAATCATATTAACCCCTTTGTCCTTGAATTGCTCTATATTACAACTGCAAAATTTGCCAGTAACTTAGTCCCGTGTATCAGGGAGAGAAGAAAGGCTCTGTGAATGTTTGAAGGCCACATAAAGCTATAGCATTACCATCACCACACCCAAATGATGGTATCGTTAAACATTTATTTGAACAGAAGCTGAAGAAATGCAGGAAACAGGGACAGAGAAAAAAATTCATTTATAGCCAAAGCCCACCCCACGATGCCCACCTTGTCCAGTGATCTCTATAAGGCCTTGAATGGACTGCCCTGGGATATGTCTGAATACCCATCTTTGCTGGAAGCACAGCCCCAGTGGCCATGTCTTGCACGGTACCACAACCCTGCCTGTGGAATGTCCTATAATGCCCTGCAGGCACAGTCCTTCCTTTTTCACCAGTTTCCACGGCCTTAGGTGGAGCCTACCTTGCAGGGCCCACTCCACTTCCCCTCCTCTGCATGCCTGATCACCAACTGCCTTTATTACTATCCTCTCAGTCCCACACAACCTCTGGAAATCTCGCTAAGCAGCGATTTCTAAACAGCATAAAATATACACAGTTGATTCTCCTTATTCACAGTACTGTAGTTACGTTCTGTAAAGTTTCTGTAAATACTGAATTAGGGAATAATGAAGCATTGCTCCTAGGAGGAAATACAGGGTAGCTTCCCGTGAGCCCCTGGTCACAATACTTTCCTCAATCAATCAACAAGTAACCTTGTTCTACGTGTGTTTCTGTTTAAAAACAATTTATTTAATATGTATTAATGATCCATAAACATTGTACTCTGGCCAACAGCACTCTAACTCACGCCTGAATGAAGTTTCTGGAGCACCCATATCTTCTCCATCAGGCCCATCACAGCCTTCTCGTGCTTAGGAGCATTAGATGGCATTAGTACTATGCTTGGGGGGCATTTGCAATGGTGAACTCACCAATAAAGAGCACAAAAATGTTAAAAAAGATGGCATTAAATAGACCACAAAAAGGGTACTAGTTTGTAGTATGAGAGAGAAGGTAGAATGTCATCTGGTCTGACCTTGTTTGACCTAAGTAGAAAGGGTGTACATCAGGTGACCCAAATTTTTTGCCACTCTGTGCAGGTTCAAAATTACCAGCAGGCATGGTGGCTCATGACTGTGATCCCAGTACCTTGGAGGCTGAGGCAGGAGGATCGCTTGAGGCCAGGACTTCAAGACCAGTCTGGGCAACATGGTGAGACCCTCATCTCTACCCCAAAAAAAAAAAAAAAAAAATAGCCAGGCATGGTGGCACACGCCTGTAGTCCCAGCCACTAGGGAGGCTGAGGCAAGAGAATCGCCTGAGCCCAGGAGTTCAAGGTTACAGAGAGTTATGATGACACCACTGCACCCCAGCCTAGATGACAGAGACCCCATCTCTTAAAAAATAAAATAAAAATGAAAAATGACCATAAAGGTGCCGTGAGTATTGATTTTGGAGTTAACAAGAAATTTTAGCAAGTAGACAAATTCACACATATAGAATCCATGAATACTGAGGATCAAGCATCTTTTAGAAGAAGCTGAAACTTAAAATTCCTGAGATTCCCATTTTTACTTAAGTAGAAGGGAGAGGAGGTTAAGGAATTAGAATATAATATCAAAAAGGCCCCCAAACACTAGAAATCCTACTCTTTCAAAGGATCTCTTTGGAGATCCTTCACCCGACCTTCCGCCCCGTCCCGAGGGCCTCAGCCACAACCCCAGTGAGCAGTCTGGGGCCTCTGCGTAAGCACCATGGGAAAACAAGTCCCTGAGCAGCCCGCCCCATCAAGACAGTTCCCACTGTCAAGAGGTTCTTCCTCCTATTGAGGCAAACTCTGCCTTCCTGTAAGTCCTGTGCCCTGGGCTGAGTTATTTTCGTCATTCCCACTACTCAGTTAATTCCTCTCCCACACAACAGATACTCAAGTACGGCCTTGCGTTACTTAATGACAGGGATGCATTCTGAGAAAAGCATTATTAGGTGACTTCATCACTGGGTGAACATCGTAGATTGTGCTTACACAAATCTGGATGGTGTAGCCCATTTCACACCTAGGCTAGAGGGAAGAGTCTATTGCTCCTGGGCTACAAACCTGTGCAGCCTGTGACTGTACTGAATACTGCAGGCAAGTGTAACACAATGGTAAGGTATTGGTGTATCTAAACATATCTGAACGTAGAAAGGGTACAACAAAAACACTGTATGATAATCTCATAGGACCACTGTCACATCATATATGTGATCCGTCATTGACCAAAATGTCATTATGCAGTACACGAGTGTAACTGAAGATAGTGCCATGTTTTTCCCTGCCCAGGTGTGGGATTGCCATAGACAACAATACTTACACTACAGAAAAAGTGTATCCAGATTCTACCATTTGAGAGAAGATAGGAATTTAATTTGAGCTATGGGCAGAAGGGAGAGCTTCATTAGCTTTTGACTCAAACTCTCTAAATAGGAGCTATTTCTCTAATGATGACTATGGGCAATTTCTGGGTACTTGCTAGGAGCTAGGTCCTGTCTGAAGCACTTTGCACATACGATCACATTTAGTTTAATTAACTGGAGAAGAGAAACACCGCAGGAAGGTAGACCCTCTTGCTAAACCCAGGTGAAAGATAACAAGGATCTGAGTCAGGGCAGCGGCCATGGTGGTGAGAGACAGATGAGCAGTAGGACTGAGAGGGCTTGGAGGCCGGCCAGATGTGGAACGAGGGAGAGGGAGGTGTGGAAGATGGTTGTGGTTTCTGGCCTAAGAAACTGGATAGATTCTATGCATTCGAATCAACTAATATTGGAGGCCCTTCAGAATGGGTTTGGGGGAAAGACAAGGGCATTGGTTTAGGCAATGACTAACTGGAAGACTCCACACATCACCCAGAATACCAGCCTGCATCTCTGCTCTGGCCTCAATCCCTCTCTGCATAATAAATCAGAGGGCTGGGCTGAGGTCCCTGAGGGCTGAAAAAGGGCAAACAGGGACAGGGCTAGGAACACCAGACTGCAGATAAAGAACGGAAGGTAGATGCTCTTTCGGGGAATGAGCATGAGCTTCTGCAGATTCTCTTCCCAAATGCCTGATGAGTGGGTGCTCCACTTCCCTACTCACATGAACACATCCCCACACACATGCGAGTGCACACACACCCACAAATACATACTCACACACGCATGCATACACACACATGCACACACAGCACAAACATGCACACACACATACACACACGCACACACAGCACAAACATGCACACACACATACACACACACACAGCACAAACATGCACACACATACACACACGCACACACATGCATACCTATATGCACACATGCACACACGCACACCTATATGCACACACAAACACGAGTGCACACACACCCACAAATACATACACTCACACACGCATGCACAAACATGCACACACAGCACAAACATGCAGACACACATACACACACGCACACACATGCACACGTATATGCGCACACACACAAACACATGAGCACACCCACAAATACACTCACACACGCATGCACAAACACACGCACATGCACACACACATACACATGCACACACAAACACATACAAGCACACACATGCACACCTCTATGCGCACACACACACACACAAACACACATATGTACACCCACCAGGATTAAAACACAGTCTGGCAATAGATCAGCCACAGAGCATCTCTACCTGGGCTTCTCTGGGAATTTTTGTGGGTAGAGGAACCCTGCCTACTTCTGGCTATACCCACCTCTCAGATAACTGGATAGACAGCAACATCATAAGGCTGGGCCTTAGATGTCTCCAGTTTGTCCTTATTTCCAAAGCAGCTACATTCTCATTTGAGCCTTAGAACAATCCTATGAGTTGGTGTTATCTCTAAATACGGAAACTGAGAGCCGGAGAGGTTCAATGACCAGAAGCGAAGTCTCCTGATCCTATGGAAGGCAGCAGTCACTGCAGCAGGATGGAAGGGAATGAGTGAAGTGGATGAAGAGCAGGATCGCCCTGATACAGGGCATCCCCATTTTTGTATCTCTCAACCCCTTCTAAACATCATCCAGCTCAATCTCCCCTGCCCCCAGTTTCCTGTCTCAAAGCAGAGCTGAGCTGAGTTAACCACGTCTCACCTAGGCCAGGGCCTGTGGAGGAGCCTGCGGCCCAATGGAGAGCAAATCTGAGCACCTACGTGACAGAGAAGACAAAAGGGAGGGTAGATCTGTGTCCAATTCAAAGAGACAGAAGTGTAGCAACATCCTTGTTCAGCCAGCTCCAAAAGGAGCTGCTGCAGCTTTTAGGAGGATAGCAGTTGAGCCCAGAACCCCTCACTTTCTGCCATCTGCCCAGAGAGCTAATCTGAGCTCATGACAATCTCGGGCTGCAGAGGTGGAGGAGACACTGACCTCCACCTGCCTCCGGTTTCTCAGCAGGCAGTCCCGCAGCACTGGCTCCCATTTCCTGAGCAGGGTGTCCCAAGAGTGGGCATCCCCCGATCCGCTGCTCCCATCACCACCACAGCCAGCCAGTGAGGGATCCAGAGAACTGGAGGAACCAGAGTCCATGTCCGGTAAAGAATGCATCTCACACTCTGGCCTGGAGCTGTTCCCGGCGGCCTGGGCCAAGTCCTCTGAGACCTGTGTAGCCAAGAGACTGAAGGGCCGAGAGAGACATCGAGGGTCCTTATGAGGCCCGTCCAAGCTGGCAGCTTTGGCTCCCATCTCCTGGGGGCTCTGGCAAGGGGACTCGGCCTCTCTGGATGGTGGGCAGCCTTCTGCTTCTCCACGTTCCCCGGCAGAGCCAAGCGAGAGCCGAATAAAGCTAAAGCTTGAGGCAAAGGCACTGTGAGAGCCAGGAGGGGTTGGGGGGTCCTCAAGGCCACAGCCAGGGTTGCAGCTATTGCTACTCAACTCTGCTGATGGCACAGAGCCTGCTGCCTGGACACGCCTTGCTCCATCACTGCAGGCTGCCTCCCAGCTGGTGTCCAAGGTCTCAGAACTGTCCATGGCTGCAAACTCTTGCTGCCACCCAGCATTCCCAGGGCCACACAGCCTGCTAAGCCTGTCAGGCAATCTGGTGCTACCTCTGAGCTGAATCCCAAAGTGTGACGAGGTTCCTCTCACAGAGGTCACAGCAGGGGCTGCTGCGCTCTTGGAAACAGGGCTCCCGACCAAGAGGCCTCTCAGGTCAAGGCCACACTCTCTGGTCCTGGACTCCGAGTGGTGGGACTCCTCGCCAGGCACCCCTCCTGGGACCCGGAACAGTGTGCCCACTGCTGGGGAAAGGAACCCGATCCCAGGCCCTGTCGAGCTTCTCATGTAGCCCGGCCTCCGTGCCAGCCGCCGCCTCCGAAAGCACGCTGCAGGTGGTAAGCAATCCCGGCTGCCTGGGAAGGAAAGAGAAAACAGCACTATAAACGTGCAGTTCTTACTGGCCCAGCTGGAACTGCATCTGGAGCACATCCCTAGGTTTAAAGGTCATCTCTCGGTACACCTGTCAAAGATACATGCTGGCTCAATGGTCTTGGGGCCAATCCGTTATGAAAATCCCAACAATCCTCAGGAAGTGTTTGCCTGGAACATGTAGAAATCAACACAGCATCTCAGCTCCTGGGTTTAGCAGAGCAACTGGCACTGCTGTATGCTATGCCCACAGGTCAGCATGAACACAACTTTGGTGGCTCCTGAACCCTCCAACATCTTGCCTGTTGGTCTTTTATGGCACATCAGTACTCTCATCCTGGAGTGGGCCTGGAAAGCAAATGACGTGAAAGTGGGATGCCAGAGCATGCCCCTAAATGAGATCCAACCATTTACTCTAGCTATTCATTGAACAACATGTGAATGTTCACTAGCGGGGCTATCCATGTCCCTGCAAGACTGATCTGTTGCTGCAGACCCATGGATAGCTGGCTGTGCCGCAATGTATGGCCATCATCTCATCTCACTCAGTGAATGACAGGAGGCCTGCTTGATGTGTTCTCCAAACCAGCACTGCATTCCCCTTCCAGCTAGGCTATAGGAATAGGAACAATAACAAATGCTGATTCCTCATTGCCTGGTTCAAACCCTGACTGTACCACTTGCTGGTTGTGTGACCTTCCACAAAGTTACTTAACCGCTCTGTGCCTCAGTTTCCCCATCAGTAAAGTGGTGATATTAACAGCTCTCTCATAAGGTGGTTGTGAGCTTTCAACTAAATGAGTTACTATTTGTAGACAGCTTAGAACAATGTCTGGCACATATGATAAGAGTTATTAAAATGTCATTTTTAGATTGCATAGCATTTTGCTACTCATAATGTGTTTTTAATTTACATTAATTTCATTCACTCCCTCCCAAAATCATGTGAATCAATCAGGCCAGAAACTATAGCTTTCCTTTTATATTGAAGGCAACTGAGATTCAGAGAACTTGCCTTTCCAGAATCCCCTGCAAGTAGCCAAGTGACCAGGCCAAAGTCTCATGACTCTACTGGCCCACACAGAGCTCCCTCATCTCAGGACCCTGCCACATTACAAATCAGGCATGAAAGTAAAACCAGGCAGCACTGGACACAGCTGTACTCATACATGGCCTATGGCAAGAAGTGGAACAAAGCTTCACTCCAGGCCCACACATCCTGCTTTGCTTCCCAGAACAGATGTGGTCTTGGAATCTTTGTCCTGTTAAGCCGAGATCAGTAGGCATTAAAGATCCCACTGAGCTACGATCATGGCACATGTCAGCTCCTAAAAGGGGTGGAGTTGGCACTGATAATCTCTGGGAAAATGAGCACAATGACCTCCAGCCGTCTATTTCCTGACTTGAGCATCTGAAGATAACAGAGCCCAAGACTTGCTCACACAGTGACTTGCTCTTGCCAACTGCAGGGAGCCCCAGAAGGGCCAATGCTGCCCGGGGCACACAGAATTCGGAAGCTTGCAGGGAAGGGAGGAAAGGAATCAGGGACCATGAGGTGGTGGTGGAGGAAGTCAGAGTAAAGAAAGGAAGGGAGGCATTTAACACTATAACTCTAGGAGATCGGTACTATTCCCATTTTACAAATAATACAGCTAAAGCTCAGAAAGCCTTACTTTGCCCCAGAACTCCCGGATCATGGTTTCCCAAAGCCCGGACTTGAACTGAGGCTTGTCTGGTTCCAAAGTACACGCCCTTTCAATTCCCTTTGCCTCCAAGTATATCAGTTAGGGCGACAGCGTAAAATGACAGGAAGGCAAAAGAAATATTTCATTTTTTTCTTTCTTTCTTGAAGACAGAGGACATGCGAGTTGAAGCCAGTAGAAAAGGACATGATGAGAGGTACAGAAGGAATCCATCATCCGAGGACATGAGGCTCCCTGCAGTGTCTGGATCCGACCGGCAGGGGGAGCAGTCGGAACAGGGCGGCCGGGCGTTGGGAGGGGGCAGAGAGAGACCCTCAGGGACACTCGCTCATAACCCCTGCAAAGCGGGCAAAACGTTCTCCAGAGGGCAAAGAGTCTGAAAGTACGTTAGAGACAACATTGAATTCGGGCTTCAATTACCAAAGGAAAACAATCCAACAATTTCGTATCCTGAAAAATGAGTCCAGGTGAAACCTATATTGTCTGTAGTTTAAAAAGACTTTTAACTATTTTTTTATGTAAGTACCAGTCATCCAGATAACCCTTCTGGAGTTAAAAGAAAAAGGCTAAGTAGAAAATTATTTGTTTGAAATTTCATTTCTTTTCAAAGGCCTGAGGGCACTTCAGTCTGAGTAGCCTTTTCTTTTTCTCTTTTTTCTTTTTGTTTTTTTTCTTTTTGAGACAGTCTCACTCTTGTTGCCCAGGCTGGAGTGCAGTGGCATGATCTCGGCTCACTGCTCCCAGGTTCAAGTGATTCTCCTGCCTCAGCCTCCCAAGTAGCTGGAATTGCGGGTGCCCACCTCCACACCCAGCTAATTTTTGTATTTTTAGTAGAGAGGGGGTTTCACCATATTGGCCAGGCTGGTCTTGAACTCCTGATCTCAGGTGGTCCACCTGCCTAGGCCTCCCAAAGCGCTGGGATTACAGTTGTGAGCCACAGCCACCGCGCCCAGCCCCTGAGTAACCTTTTCTAAAACCACTCAACCAAAGGTCCTGAAGTCCTGAAAGCCAGGTTCCAGCTGCAGCACAGTGAGGTTACCCAATGCGAACCCTTGTTTCTACTGGGGCCCTGGGAAGCTGTGATGAGCTGGGGACCAGAAGCAACAAGCCCAGGAGGGCAAACATAAGAGAGGTGTTTACCAAACGTGGGAATGAGATACGGGGATCACCTGGCTTCTGCACCCTGCTGAGGGCTCATGCAAACCATCCCCTGGCCATTGGCCTTCCCAGAAGGTGGCGGAATAGCAAAGACTGTCACATACTATGAATCCTAACCCTGAGGGGGCAGAGGGCAGATCCAGAGGGCACTGCTGGAATCTTCTAGAAGAATTCCAGGAAACCCATATAAGGCAGGAATGAAATCTGTAGGAAAAACTCCCAGTTTCCCATAACGAAAGGCCATTTTTTCTCACTCCTTTGTCCTCTTTTTTTACTTTTATTTTTTGAGGAAATTTATGACATCCCCTGTGACCAAAATCAATTCTCACTTACATATCCAAGTCTTGCCATCACACCTTGCAGTTCAATAAGGATTAGGATGCATTCAGACCTTGGAGATAAATACTCCTTCCTAGCACCTAAGTGCAATCAGCTCTGGCAGGAGGTTCAAGAGGGCAGGAAGCAACGTATGGTAAGGTAAAGAAAAAGCGCACAGAGTGCAGGCAGGTTTTGAGAGCCAGTTAGGAAACAAGCTGTACCCTCTGTGATCTGCGAAACCCAGAGATGCCTCGTTCCACCCATCTAGCCCAGGAACGAACAACTGAGCAGGGAAAGGGACCCTGGCGCAGCTTTCTCTGCTCCTCAAGGCCTCTTGTCCTGCAACAGATCAATTCTAGAGGGAAGTGCTCATGCCTTACTTCCTCTCTGAAGCACAGACCTGCTTGCCCTGGTAATCTATGACCCCTATCTCCACCTTATCCAACCCAACAAGCTCTGATTGGAGGAAAATGAAAGACAGCAACTTAGAACAGACCCAGATGTCAATGGGTCTCTATATACAGTCTAAATAGGATGCCTGGAAATTTATGTTGACCTAGCTTAGAAGGAAAATTGGGGCAAGCCAATATTAGCCAGCTGGATCGGCAAGAATCCTGCCAGCCCTCCCTCTATGCTCTCCCTTCATCTATCCAAATCCTTCCCAGCCTTCAGCTTCCAATCCCTTCCCCATCAGCTCCCTTCTCCTGATTGCCCAGTTAACAGGGCTTCACCAATTGTCCATATCACTCATTCCCTCCATCACTCATTCCCCCCTACGTATTGTTAACACCCGGCGCTGTTAGTGATTTTCTGTGGTGGATATGAATTGTTTCCAGTTTATACTACACAGAAGTTTCCTGAGGTCCTTATAATTCCTAAAACAATCCTAGTTTACAGTATATCAGAGAATAAAATACACATTGGTCAGACAATATTCATTTTTAAATATGAAATCTTAAACATGCAGTTTAAGAAAACATGATACTTAGTTTTTGTCCTGGAGCAGTGGCTCATGCCTGTAATCCCAGCACTTTGGGAGGCTGAGGTGGGTGGATCACTTGAGGTCAGGAGTTCGAGACCAGCATGGGCAACATGGCAAGGCCCCATCTCTACTAAAAATACAAAAATTAGCCTGGTGTGGTGGTGAATGCCTGTAATTCCAGCTACTCAGGAGGCTGAGGCAGGAGAATCACTGGAACCTGGGAGACAGAGGTTGCAGTGAGCCAAGCCCGCACCACTGCACTCCAGCCTGGGTGACAGAGCAAGACTCTTGTCTCAAAAAACAAAAAAAAAAACAAAAGAAAAATGACTCATAGGCTTGGGCAGGTCACTTGGCTGCCCTGTACCCCAATGATTCTAAGGTCTCCTGAAGGAAAAATGCTGGGACCTCGAGGCTGCTACAAGGAATGCACCAAATAGCAAGAGAAGAACACAACTTTACAAAACATGATTTCCATATAAATTTATAGTGGAAGCATAAAGGAATATATTCTTTTCAGGGAAGGAATTTTAATCCCATCTGTCACGGTTGGGGTAAAAGATCTTAATACATTCAGGCTAACCAAATATTCAGAACCATAAAGAAACAATATATCTCTCTGGATTAATTTGTTTCCAAAGAATCAGAATCCAGTAATAGGCACTAAGCACAAACACTCTACTGAGCCGAAGTCCATCTTCCTTCGATAATTCAGAGAGCACTTAAGGCTTCTGAAGTGCCTTCAGGTCACTGTAATAAGCATCCAGTGAGCAAGGCAAGCGGGGGGTGGAATAAATCAACCTGTATTGTATTTCCAATTTAATCATGTAA